GAAAAGAATGGTTGATCAGATCCAGTGGCGGTAGTTGCAGAATGGTTGAACAGCTTGCAGGAAACCCTTCTGACAAGATCTGGGCGTCCTCCCCTTCTACAACTCTTGAACTCCTCAAGAAACCTTAGCCTTGTTAACTGGGTAAATTGACCAACCCCTTCTACAAGACCCCTGGGACCCTTTTTATAGAGAAGGGTAGACACAACTGGGAATAGGGAGAAAGACGGGGGCGGCAACTGGGTTATAGCAAAGTTAGGGACCCCCTAGGGTTTCTAATGGATGGTTAGGATGGTTTTGATGTGATCCTATGGCTGAAAATAAAAGGAGAGGGCGCCCAATATTATGTGGGGCTGAGATTTGGGCGCCCAGAAATGGAGGGTGTAGATTAGAACATGTAGGGTTGAAGGGTTAAGATTAAAAGAATAGGTGGCACCCTAGATTGAATGGTTGGGATATAATATGGAGGGAGTGGCTGATATTTGGAGGTGAGGGGCTGAATGGTGAGGATTAGTAGTTAGGTGGTGCCTTAGGGTTTAAAAACTATAAAGGAGAGCCTTAAAATGAGTGGTTGAGATTAAAAGAGGTGGAGGGTGGAGATTAAACACCTAGGGGCGGCTAGGGTTTGCTAAGAGTGAAAAGATTAGGTTAAAAGGCTCCATAGGGTTTGCTAAGGAGAGGGGAGCATGGTAATACAATAGGATGGGCGCCAACTGGGTTTAGCAGATAGGAGGCGCCCTCCTGTTCTCAGTTCTTTACAAAAACACCCCCTCTCTTAGCTGGTCTTCACACCAGCTTCCCAAAAACTGCACTTCAGCCTAGAAAACTTCATAGTTTTCTACATAATTTGCACAGAGACCCTAAGAGGTCACATAATTGATTTTAATTGGGAAAAGCGTACACTTTGACTATTCTAAGGCCGAAAATACCCCTGAATTGATGCCCTTAAGGCATCAAAATGCAGGGTTATCAGAGTTTTCGTGCAAGGGAGACAAATAACAGATTAGATTCTAATAGTGAGTGGATGTCTGGAGATGAGAAAGTCCGGAAAGCAAGGGTTTGTTTGTAAGCTGGACTTAGAAAAGGCCTATGATCTAGTGGATTGGAGCTTCTTACTAGAAATCCTAGGGTGTTGTGGGTTTGGAGTCAGATGGTGTAATTGGGTAAAGGGATGCATAAGTTCTTGCCATTTTTTGTCTTGGTTAATGGGATAGGCAAGGATTTTTTCCCAGCTCTTAGAGGTTTAAGGCAAGGTGACCCCCTTTCCCCTTTTCTTTTTACCCTAGTTGCAGATGTCTTTAGTAGCTTGATCTCGAAGGCAGACAGGGAAGGTATAGTGAGAGGCTGGAGGATAGGTAGGAACGGGATTAGGGTGATCCATTTACAATTTTCTGATGACCTAATAATCTTTTGTGAAGGGGGTGATAGGGGAACGGTAAGTAATCTCAAGTCTTTGATATGGTGCTTTGAGAGAGTATCAAATCTGAAAATAAATTTGGAAAAGAGCTGTGTGGTGGGAGTGGATCTGGATGAGAAGACCCTTGAGTCGGTGGCTGAGTCTTTAGGTTGTCCTATTTCCTATTGGCCTTTACAATATTTAGGTCTTCCTCTTGGAGCCAACCCTAAGGAGAGCACATTTTGGGCCCTGGTTTTAGAAAAGTTTGAGAAAATGTTAGCCTCGTGGAAAATGAACTATATTTCTTCAGGGGGTGGAGTTACCTTATTGAGAGCTTCCTTAGCAAATCTATTGATTTATTATTTCTCTGTGTTTACGATTCCGGTCAGAGAAGCCAAGAAACTAGAGAAATTAATGAGTAATTTTCTGTGGGAGCCAGGGGAGGAAAAAAGGGATCACTTAATAAATTAGGGAATAGTGTGTAGGAGGAAAGAGGAAGGTGGATTGGGACTGGGGAATTTAGTTTTGAAGAATAAAGCACTCCTAGGAAAATGGTTGTGGAGATGGCCCCTAGAACAGGAGAGACTTTGGCATGAGGTGATAACTAGCATACATGGCAGTTTGGGCAATGGATGGGATGCTGGTGTATCGCGTTGAGTCACTCTGGCAACTCCTTGGAAAGCAATTCAGAGTATTCTTCCTCTTTTCCTCAACTGTATCAGGTATGATGTCAATTCTGGTACTTTTGTTTTGTTCTGGGAAGACATCTGGGTGGGCAATTCTGCCCTTAAGGACAGCTTCCCTTCTCTCTATTCCATTTCTGGCTACCAGGGTAAAACAATTTCTCATTTTCTCCCATCACCTAATTCTCCATCTTCTTTGAGTTGGGACTTTGGGTTTCGTAGGGGTTTGAGGGATCATGAACTATCTTATGGTTCAGACCTGTTGTCATTGCTTGAAAGTGTTTTTCTGGACCTTTCCAGTTCTGATGTCAGACTTTGGTCTCCAAACCCAAAAGGTTACTTCACATGTGCTTCCTTTTTCAAGTCCCTTTGCTCTCCCTCGGGACAAGTGGGGTTCCTAGCTAAGGAGATTTGGTCTAAACCTGTACCTCCTAAAATTACTATGTTCTGCTGGGAGGTTTTCTATAGGAAAATCAACACTTTAGATCTACTGCAGAAGAGAAGGCCTTCTATGTTTGTCTCCCAATTGGTGTGTACTTCGCAGGGCTAATGGTGAGGATTGCCCTCACTTACTTTTAACTTGTCCCTTTTCTGATGCTATTTGGGGTTGGATATTTGCTTTGTTTGGTTGCAGATGGAATATGACCACAGCCATAGATCAGATCTTTGATCCTTCCTTCTTTGTGTGGCCCACAAAAACTGGTAAAACAATGTGGAGAATCATTAGAGCTGCTGCTCTGTGGACAATTTGGGAAGAGAGAAATGCGAGGATATTCCAAGAGAAGGAGAGAAATGTGCAGAATGTAAAGGATTGTATTTTGACCAGGGCAATCCACTGGCTGAGATCATTAGATTCCTTCAAATCATACTATTTTGATGACATGTGGAGGAGCTGGAGGGCTGTGGCTAGCAGCAGTAACAGAAAGAACAGGGTACTAGATGTGTGGGTACCTCCTTCAGAAGACTGGACAAAGCTGAATTTTGATGGTAGCAGCCAAGGAAATCCGGGGCCTTCAGGGATTGGTGGGGTGCTGAGAGATAAAGATAGTAACATTCTAGCTTTGTTCTCAGGCTCCGTGGGTATAGGAGACTCTATCAAAGCTGAGCTCCTAGCGGCAGTACAAGGCATTCAAGTTGCGGATCAGTTAGGAGTTCAGAATTTGATTATTGAAGGAGACTCCAAAGTTGTTGTGGGTTGGCTAAAAAGATCCAGATTCAGTGATCTGGTGCTACAGGGGTATTATGAGGAAAGCTAAATGGTTCTCAAGGAACATGAATGTTATTTTTCAGTGGGTGGGTAGAACAGCTAACACCATAGCGGATGGGTTAGCTAAAGTTTCAAGGGAACAGTTCTTTGTAAATTTTTTGTTACTAGTCTGAGGTAGTATATTGTTGCTATTGTGGAGAGGTACTAGCTCGTGCCCCTCCTTTGGGAAGGCTGTATTGTAATATCCTATTGATTTTATGAATAAAATTTTAATCATTTATCAAAAAAAAGTTAGTGGGGTGCAAGTAGGTTTTTTATAGAAAAATACAAGGTAGATAGTTCTATTGAATGATACAAATCAATATTGGTAGCAAAAGGATGTGCAAAGACTTGGGGATAGATTGTTTTTAGATTTTTACACCTCTTGCCAAGCTGAATTATGTTTGGGTATTATTGTCTCTTGCTGCTTTCTATTTGTGGCCTCTATATCAGTTTGGTTACTCCAAGTCTTAGATTATACATTTTTTTTTTCTTAAAAGAGATATAACTTGCTAATAGTGCTCATTATCTAAATAGGTGATATAGTGGTGACTGGGAAAAATCTTCTAGAAATTGAGCATCTTAAGTGCAGAAGTTAAACATAAGACCCTTAACACAAGGCATTTTAAAAATTTTGTAGTTGAGTTCTTTGCTTGATGAAGCAGGTGTTCATTATGAAACTCCATTTATGCTCTACCATAGTAATCAAGATGCTTTTAATATCGCACACAAGTGAACTCAGCATAATTGACATTGTGGTAGATTGACATTTTATTCATGAGAGCATTATCTCTGGAGAAGTTTGAGACCCTTTTGTCACTTTATAAGCAACTGGTTTATATATTCACTAAAAAAGTCATAAAGTCAAAGTTAAGATACATATTTGGCAAGGTTGGTATGGTTATTATCTTTGTCCAGCTTGAGAATGAGTGTTGAGAGAGTTTATTTGAGTGAGTTACTGCTAGTGCTATTTGTTTCAGTTCTTTATTTATGTTTTTTGAGTCTTTTATTTAGTTATGGGTGACCTGGGTACAAGTGTCTTTTGTAAAGTTGAATTTTACATATAATGGAAAGGGGGCAGCACACCACCTAAGTTATTTCATCCTCAAATCCTTCTTTTCTTGTTTCTTTCTTTTATTCTCCTCTAATTAAATCTAGTAGCAATCAACTTAGTTTCTTCAAGAAAACAAGCCATATTTTTTGATTCTTTTGCCATTCAGACTTGGAAGTTAGATTGGAAATATATATAGTGTTGAGAGGATAACCTTGTTCTTCTTAGCTACTAATTGATCAGTTAATATTTTGCTAAATTAATCGGTTTCTTCATAATTTTGCTTAACAGTAAATGTTAATTGACCTAATCACATTTCAGAAGTAAGGGTTGGCTCGACTTAGCATTTTACACTGCTTCAGGTTTGGGCCTTTGGGCCAGGCTTATTCAAATTTTGACAAAATCTTATTTTGAGACTGCCCAAGTTGACCCCTACTTAGAAGGGTTTATAATTTTTTTTTTAAGATTCACATGACATAAATTCATGCCTAATCTGTGAATTCTAGTTGTAACTTGTGAGTTTAGTTTTGCATGGATGACAGGATGTCCAACTGGGTCATTTAAACTTTTTTGTTATAGTTATTATGGATTTTATTAGTTATTCTTATCAACCACTACTTGATGCAGGTCTCTTTGATGGGAATGGAAAGCTTCTAGGTTCGTCTAGTAGCCCCATACAGATTTGGAAGGATGGTAACTGCATTGAGGTGAAATACAATTAAGCTTTGTTGGTCATGATGATTTCTAACTAGTATTTTAAATAAGTTGTAGGAGTTGGGTGAAATGAAATAAGTTCTTTCTCACATTCAAAAAGAAATAATAAATCAATAATAACTTAATTCAGTTTCAAGAATTTAGACATGTGAAGCTTACATCCTTACCAGAAAACCTGTGCTTTTATAATAACTTATTTTTTAAACAGCAATCTTCAACAGATATCTGGCATGCAGTCTGTGCAGCTGTAAAAGCAGCATGTGCTCTTGCAAATGTTGCAGGTGAAGAAGTTAGCGGTCTGGGATTTGCAGCTACTTGTTCTCTTGGTTTGTGACCTCATGCTTATTCTTGAATTTCATTTTTTTCCACTTATGCCAAAATTTTATATTGTATGGAGTTTATAACCTGAACTATTTAGCATGATTGCCATTTGCAGTTGCAGTGGATGCTGATGGCTCTCCTGTTACAGTTTCTTGGAGTGGTGATACAAGGAGAAACATTATAGTGTGGATGGACCATAGGGCTGTAAAGCAAGCTGAAAGGATAAATTCCTGCAATTCACCGGTATTGCAGTATTGTGGGGGTTCACTCTCCCCTGAGATGCAACCGCCAAAGGTTAAGCAACTGATCTGATTTTTTTTTTCTCATATTTAATCATACTCTGTTGTGGGTGTAACTAGGAATTTAGTATGCATGTGGATGTCTGTATGAAAGAAAAAGAAGAAGAGAAGAGAATGCAAGAAGAAATGAGGAAAAACTTTGTGGAGGTGTACACAGGTAGCAACCTTGTGGTGTATTTGGGAAGAAAGGAATGCAAGATTATTCAAAGATACGGAGAGAGACAAGCCCATCATTAGAAATGCATCTATTTAGGTTGTGCATTGGGTAAAGACAGTGATGATATCATGAGGTATTGGCAAGTGGTGTGTCATGGAGTGACAGAAAGGAGCCGTGGGCAAGAGGTTAAGGCTGGGCACTTAGAATTTCTTGCACACTTTGGACATCTTAGCTGGATCTCCAACATACTGGAGCATCTCAAGTTGGGCCTCCAACGGACTGGAGCAGCCTAAACTTTGCCAGGATTAATCTGGATGTATCTAGATGGGACTTGGATATTATCTGGAATATTCTCTAGAAGGGTGTAGAAGCCTGAAGGTTCTAGAAGGTGATCTTGATGCTTCCTGATTGTATCAACTGTACATGGTTCTAGAGTCTTCTTGGAGGGGAGTAACTCATATATAGGTGTCCCCTTATTTGTAACCATCCAAGTCTTGTAAGCATTCTCACTTAGTTCAATACAACCTTTCCTTTTATAATACTTGGCGTGTTCTTATGTGCCTTGGTTGGGTGTCCTTTGCACTTAAGAAACCTAGCAAGAGTGCTCTTGGGGGTGAGTTTGGTTGACTTGTTTGGAGGGTCCAAGTGAGTGCCCCACGACTTGGCCAATGAGAGCAATTGGGTTGTTGCCGGTGGCTAAATATTCATGTAAAAGATCTTGACAGCAGCATATCACCTCCACCATATTCCAACAGCATCAAACTATCAGAGATTGAATTTCACTGAAACTGTCAATTGATGGAAGATACTATCAGAGATAGGATTTCACCTCAAAGAGGTCTCCAAGATGTGGAAGAAGGAAGTGTTAGTAGAAGAAAAAAGAGTTTTCTGTTCGATGAAAGCTGGGGAGGAGTTTTGAAGCCAAGTGAAGGTGGGAGATCCACGATCCTCTCGACTCAAGATGTTGCAGGTTGGTTTAAAGGATTTATTGATGGAGTGATCCAAGTGGTGATAATACCAGGTTGGAGAAGTGAACTGAAAAGAGACGTGAATTTTTTTTTTTTTTTTTTTTCAATAGAGAAAAACTTAACAGTAAAGGTGGGGAATATTTCAAGAGAGGAGGAGTTTAGTTTTGAAGCTAAGTGAAGGTAGGAGATCCACGATCCTCTTGACTCATGATGTTGCAGGTTGGTTTAAGGGATTTATTGATGGGGCGATCCAAGCGGTGAGAAGGGAGTTTGAAGACAGGTGCTGGTGTAAAAAGGAAAACCATATAAGGCCGGTGACCTAGAAGATGGTTCAGGTTCACAATGAACAAAAGAAGATGCAGGAGCTCTTGTTAGGAGGGTCCACAAGTGTTTCCAGAATATTGTTGGGAGCATGTAAGGAGGATTGGAGCAAAAAATGATTGTCACCTAAGAAGAAAGTGGGAGAATGGAAGAAGAGCCTAAATGATATCATGGACAAAATTCCATCTAAGAAGTTGGCTATGTTGTTCCCATTTGAAGACAACAAAGCTTTGCTTGATTTAGGGGAGTTTCAAGCAGATTTCATGAATGTTGAAATGCTGGAAGGCATGGTTATAGTGGCGAACTAGACTCCTTGCAATGGAAAAACTATCCCTAAAGGAAGCTTGATATTGAAGATTTTTGGACTTACTTTCAATTTGTGATTGAAGCATGTCTTTGAAAAGATCGAGGCTGTCTGATGGAGCCCTATAAGAAGTTTATATTGGCGATTTGCAAGTAGTGGAGATCAAAAGTATACATGGGCAGTTGGACAACGACTGGGATGCAAAAGTAGCCCCTAATGCATCATCAACATATCCTTGGAAAGCAATTCATGTGGTTTATCCTTCCTTCCTCAGTCATATTTGTTTTGATGTGGGATGCGGGAATAAAGTATCATTTTGGGAAGGCCTATGGTTAGGGGAACAACCTCTAAAGGTCCAATTCCCTACACTTTGATTTGTCAAATTATAATTATGTACCTATTTCCAAATTTGTGACCTTCAGCAACTCTGGGTTAAACTAGGATTTTGGTTTCAGAAGGGGTCTAAGGGAGATGGAATCTGAGACTCATACTTCTCTTGGCCAAGCTAGATTCAATTTTCTTGGACCAAAGAACAGAGGACTCAAGGGTTTGTAGCCTACCACTTTGGGTTTAAACCTCCTAGTGAAAGAAACTTGGAGCAAGGCTATTCCATAAAAAATTCAGGCCCTTTATTGGGGGATCTTTCTTGGAAAGATAAATACCTATGACTTTCTGAGAAATGAAGTCCAAATAAATGCTTTTCCCCTAATTTTTGTTGCCTTTGCAAAGCTAGTGGTGAAGGTATTTCCCATTTGTTTATTCACTATACTTTTGTGCGTTGTGTTTGGTAGCATTTTTGTCCTCTTTTTTGGATGTAGATGGACTCCTCCCCAAGACATGGTGAGTCTCTTTGATCCAATCTTTCTGAGACAGCCAAAGAAGAGAGGAAGGGTTTTGTGGAAATCAGTGTGAGCAGCACTGATTTGGATTGTTTGGGAAGAAAGCAATGGGAGAACTTTGAATGAGAAGAGCATGTTGGAATTGAAGATCATAGATACTATAAAGATAAAAGTTGCAAACTGGGTAAAAGCCTTGGACACTTTCTGTGATTTCTCCTTTAATGATATTTTGAGATCACGGAAGGAAGTAGCAAATTCGACCCAGGAGGAGAGAGTGATTATGGAATGGAGCCCACAACAATCAATGTTGTGAAACTAAACTTTGATGCAAGTTTTTTGGGAAGCCAAGGAAGGCCTGGGTTAGGGTGTGTCTTTTGAGATTCAGAAGGTAATTTACTAGCACTATATTCATGTACTGTCAAGCAAGGAGATTCACTGACAGCAGAAGGGGACTTCCAGGTGGCTATTTCATGGACAAAAGTTCACAATCAAATGCCCTGGATTTACAGGCACAAGATCCAGGAAATTAGATGCACAATAAGGGAATTCAATGCTACTTTTACTTGAGTGAGAAGGCTGGCAAATGGCTTGGTAGATGCTTTAGCTAAACAAGGGGCAAATAGGCAGCAGATATTTTGGGCTAAATTGTAATGTTTGGTCTGGGATTAAAGTTCAATTCATATAGGGGTAGTCAGTTGAAAGTGGGTAATCTACCCACAGCAATGTGACACCCAGTTTAATTATATATTTAATAAATTCTACCTTTGCTAATCTAAACAGGGGTGAGAAGGAATAGCTTATTTTGTGTTCTGTTGTAATTTTTTTTTTTCAATTGAAGGGTGGCTAAGAGAGTTTATCCCTTCCCCCTTCTTTTTCTTCAAGTGTACTAATTTTCTTCTTAATGAATGGTATTGATTAAAAAAATGCTGGGGAGACATTCCTAACTACATTGGGAAGGAAGGAAACTAGATTTGAGGGAGTTGGGGAGGGCAGTCAGGGAGAAGAGGTGTTTGGGGGTTAAGGGCAGAAGAAAGCAAGAGATGGGGAAGAGTGGGTGGGGAACAGAGGAGGGGAAGGTGTTATGGGATTAGAAAAAGAGAAAGGAGGGGAGCAAGATATTGGGACTGAGGGAGGTGGAAGCGAGGGTGAAGGGGATGAGGTTTGGGATGAGGTTAGAAAGTATAGGAGGAAAAAGTATAGAACTTTTCCCCTTGAGGGAGGCAGAGAGGAGGGGTTAAAAGCAGGTCCAAGGAGGAATATAGGACGAGCCAATGATTGATGAAACACATAAAGTTGAGAAGACAATTGACATTGAGAAAGCGGTGAAGAGGGGAATGGTGGTCAGGGAAATTTTGGGCCTTTTTTTCTTAGGTGGGGAGGTGTTTGCCAAGGAAGCTTTCAGATCAGTGGAGGAAAGGAATGGGGAGAATGAGAGAACAAATGTTTCAGCGGTCAATTGTAATGTTGATAAATCAATTATTTAAGAGATGGAAGCTTTCAAAGGAGGTTGTGGGAAAATCATTAAAGGGGTGGAAGGAGAGGTAGAGGTCACAGTGGATTCAGACAGGAATCAGACTGTCTCGGGCAAGTCAAAGGAAGTTGTGGGAGTTTTGAGCACAGTTAGGTGGTTCAAAACTCAAAAGAATCAAAGAAATAAACAGCAGATTCCGGTTTCTAAGGTTTTTGCAATGATAAATGAAGGATTATTTGGGGTAGGGCCTAAAAAGTTAGTTAAAAAATCCAAAAGACCAATTACAAGAAGACAAGAAGACCACATTTAAAAAACCGAGAAGAAGAGATAAAGGAGTGGGTTTTATTTTGGGGGTTAAGAGTTCTTGTTGGTTTTTTTTAGGGAAGGTGGGCTGGATTTTCATTGTTTTTGGGTTGTGATGTTTTTTGTTGTTTTCTTGTTTTATGTGGGGGGTGTGATAGTAGGGTTGATCCTTGTATTGCCAAGGTTTTTTTGTCAGTTTTCTCTGGGTTTTTTTGGTTTAGTCTCTTCTCTTGGGTTATTGCTTATCACCTTTCGTGTGCTTTTATTTTCTTTTAATAATTCTTTATTTATCTTCAAAAACAAAAAAAAAAAAACTAAACTTTGATGGATGTAACTTAGGAACTCAAGGACCATCTAGAATTGGAGTATTTCAAGATGGGGAATTGATCATAATTTCCATATTTTCAGGCCCTATTGTCTTCAGGAATTTAACTTGTATGTAACTCTTAGCTGTTAAAAAGGGTTTGGAAATGGCTGTGGTGCTGAATATCATGAATCTGGAAATGGAGAGGATTCTATGGTGATAATGAAATGCCTTTTTAGTAGGAGAAGAGTCTCATGGAAGCATTGATACATGATGAGGGAGATAAGGGAACCAACAAGCATGATACATATTGGTTATAACTGGACTGCAAGATCAGCCAACTTGTTAGTGGATGGATTGGCTAAACAGGATGCTACTTGGGAAAACTTCTTTGGGGGCATAACCTACTGATGGGACATGTAACAATGCAAATTATAAAGGGGAAGGCCAAATCATGGAGTGCTGGGCCCATATTATGCATATCTTATTTATTCTTTATTCTTTCAATAATGATCAATAAGATTTACCGGTTACCAATAAAAAAAAGTTATGTGCAATTCCTCTGAGAAATTGGTGAAGTTCCTTTTTCTCTTTTGCCTGAGTTTGTTCTTTGGGAATTCATTTCTCTTCCTATTTTTAATGCCTTGGTTCTGCCTCTATTCTATTTTGAAATCTGTCTTATCTTGTTCTTCTTGCTCCATGAATGGTAAAGGGCCAGTTTTTTGGAACGTGGTCTTTTGGAAATCGGATTTGGTCCTCACAAGACCGTGCTCACACTGTTCGCACAGTCCCTTGCAGCCTTGCATTGGGAATATCTCCCCATGAAAAAAAGCATAAAAGTACGGAGATATTTCCAATGCAAGCCTGCAAGTGACTGTGCGAACGGTGTGAGAAAAAAGAAATAGGAGGATCGTTGAATTCTTGGGAGGCCTTAGATCTTTATGAATTCCCAATGCAAGGCTAGGTATGGGTGTTAGCATCCTTTTAGATGGGTTGGCCCTATCTCTATGAATTTGGGAAGTTTTCAAGCATAGAAACTTTGTTTATAATGGGTATGCTATTTCAGTTGTAGTGGGTGATATGTTTTTCTCTACTCTTCTCTCCACTTCTATAGTTAACATTTATAACATTTCTTGCTTATTCTTCAAATGAAACTTCTTTTTGAATTTTGAATTTGATGTTGTTTCTAAATAAAGTACTAAGGAAAACTAGTTTCACAGCTCTTGTGGCTAAAAGAAAATTTGCAAGAATCTTGGTCAATGGCATTTAGGTGGATGGACCTGAGTGATTGGTTGTCATACAGGTATTCCATGCTAGCTACTTTGATGATATCCTTTCATATTGATTTGATTGCACAACTGCTAGATGCTTGTGAGTTCTTTATGTTATAAATGTTCTTTTCTTATTTATTTACAAAAAATATTTATGTTATATATATCAAGTCATTCTTACTCCACTAAAACCATCTTGATTCTTTGCATTTTCCTAGGGCAACAGGAGACGATACTAGGAGTTTGTGCACCACAGTCTGCAAATGGACGTATCTTGGTCATGCACACATGGAACTTATCAATGAAAAAGGTTCTCGAGATATGGAAGCTTGTGGATGGGATGATGACTTTTGGGAGGAGATTGGCTTGGGTGACCTTGTAGAAGGGCATCATGCTAAGATAGGTATGCTATTTTGTGTTTCTTTCTATATATATTTATATATTTCTATAGAACCCATATTAGCATCCAACCTCAAAATAAAATGAAAAAACAACTAAAACTGGAAATTAGCAAAGAATTTAAATTGCTTACTCAATATTTTTGGTTTAGTGACTTTAGGAATGGTAATGGGGTGGGTTCGGTGTAGGACCATAATCCCCATCCCCATTAGGGAGAAAAAATGAACCTCCATCCCCAACTGGAGATGGGTTCCCCATCAGGGATTTGAATAACTGAATTCTTTGTTTTTCTTTAAAAGATTGCTGTGGGCTTGAAGGGCATAGGATCCCATATATGATTGGGAAAAAATTTACTTAAAAGAAAGAAAACTATTTATCCATGCATGGTAGTCCTAGGGTATGTATGTAGTAGTGTTATTGTAATTATACAGAACTATTTTCAAATATTGCAGTCGGATTCAGGTTGGGGCAGGGATTTCACTCCCCATTCCCCATCCTGTTCAAGGATGTCCAATAGAGTCATTTAAACGTAGTGAGGATGAGGAAAACTGCCACCCCTAAGTGTCTTCACATTAAGAATTAAAATAATGAACCTTGTTTGTTATCATCAACATATCATGTTGTGCAGTTCATAGTAGTTGAGGTGGCAAGGCAAGACTAGGCAACAAGGTACTGCATTGTTACCTAAGTGCTTAATGCCTAGGCAAGTGCCAGTTAGGCAGTGGCTTCTCGACAAATAAGACCTATAATTTTTTGGTTATTATCCATATTGACATGCCCATTTTTTTGATTTCTCATTGTTTCATATTAGAACTCCGCTAGTGTGAGCTTGTCTTACACCACTGGTCCCAAGTGCGGATAAACTAAGGAGGGTTGTGTTAGGTTGGCAGATGACATTGAAACCTTTGCCCAACTCTCATGGTCATGGATCCTGATTTGTCTTTTTGTGTGAACAGAACGGAATGGCAAAACAGGATTCATGTAGCCAACCCCATATAGTTGGGACAAAGCTTAGATGATAATGATTATTATTATTATTATTATTATTATTATTTTGTATCCGAAATACTAGAAGAAAGCCAATAATAATGAATTTTGCATATAAAGATACATGTTTACTATGGGGGTGTTCTGTTCATGGTTGGCTAACTGCATTGCTGATGCATTAGCTAAAGAAGGGTGTCTAAGAATCAGTTCTTTTGGGCTTAGTTTTGAAGTTTTAATTTAGGGGAGAGATGATAACTTCTTTGAACTTTTGAAGGTTTTGTATGTTTGTACATATTTGGTTATAAAATTAATAAAATCAATGGTGACTTATAACAAAAGATGCTATAACCATGAAACGAGCTTAGAAGCATGGTTCAAAGTATCAATACGATACGCCCCGTATCGGGAGTATCGTGTCGTATCTTTTACAAATGATACGGTCTGAAACGCCTGTTTGCAGGTGTTTCGGACCCCCATTTTTTTTAATAATAAAAAACAGCCTATAATCTTTCCAAAAAACCAAAGTTCGAAAAAAAAAATAAAAAAAATAAGTGTTTCGGCCGTTTCTAAGTACCGATACGATATGGCCGAAACTCGTATCGTATCGATACTTTGAACCTTGCTTAGAAGTAAAATGTCAAAAACATAGGATTATTATTAAAACAAATATATATGTAAGTAAACATGAAAGATTGCTATGGAACACATAATTTATATCTTTAAGTGCATAAAAATATTACAAATAAATTTTGTAGCATATATAGATAATTTACTTTAGATAGAGAAGGTTATATTGTAAAACATAAACAAATTACAAAATAAAATTTCAAAAGCATAGGATTCATATGAAAAGAATAGATATGTAATACGAAGAAAATATGTAAACTGGTTATAAAAAGAAATAAACTGTTATAACATACGTAAAAACTTATAATATTTACATATATATGTATATATATTGTGTATTGTATTTAGATATACATAAAGATAAAAAATTATATAAATATACATACACATGCACATGCACGCACATGCTTTGAGGCTTACACATCACCTCCACCATTAGCCTTTTGAAACCTTGCTTCAGGAAGATTTTTCTGACATGTTAAGAGAAGATCCGGATCTGTTAAGAAATCCTTAGTTAATCCACCTACCTCTTGATTGCTTCAGGCTGGGGATGACTCTCAGAGGTGTCAACTTTTCTGCCTTCGTAGTCTGTTTATAGGGTGATATAGGAGCACACATTAAAGTCCATCTCTTGGTGGCACTAATTTCTTCATAAGAGACGCTCACACAAGGGACTTAATTGCAGTGGTGTTGCAAGTCGGGTTAGTTTGGGAATCTTTAATGTCACTTGCATTTAGGGGTGCACATGGACCAGGTCAGCCTGGGCTGAATTCTGCTCCATTTTAGGCCACATCCAGGCATGGATTGTGTTATGGGCCTGAGAATAGGATTGCGTCACGGGTTGGTCCACGGGGGAAAGCTCCTGTTTTCCCTTGTTCCCTTCCTAGCTGAACCTATCTTGGCGTCCTAGAGGGTGATTTGTCCAAGAGATCACCGAACTCTCCTTTTACTCTCTTTCTTGACTGGAAATTTGATATCCTCATTCAATAATGGGGTCTCCTTAAATAGGAGATTACAAAAGTCCTAATCAAAGGGAGTCTCCTTGCTGAATAGGGAGA